TGCCGCCAAAGAACTCTCCCTATCGGATCATATCGCCCAAACTGATAATTAGTATGCTTTCGCCTCCACCAGGGGTCGTGACTGTCAACACTTCAATTTTTGTGAACGTGGTCATTCATCCTTCTACACTACACCTAAACACCTCCTTTGCTTCCAGGGGCGGCAATACGAAAAAATATGTGTATTGCCAAATATGTGGCAAAAGAGGCCATTCTGCCTTCTCATTCTGGCATCATGCAAACCTTCAATCATTCCCTCTGCCCCTCATGCCTTGCTTGCTAAATAGTCTCCCCTAGTTGCTCCTCCATGTTACCTAGAAAGTAGTTCCATTGCTCATTTAACACAAAAACTTCACTCCGTACAAGACGCCTCTACCTATCAAGGTTCCGATCAGGTTCTCATCGGCAACAATACAACTCTCACCATTGCTCATTCAGGCAATAGTCTTCTACCTACTCCCTCTCATGCTCAAACTATCTTCTCTTTTACATGTTCTTCACATCTCACACAAACTTCTTTCCATTTCAAAATTTGCTGGTGATAACAATTGATATATCATTTTCTACTCCTCCGATTATGTGATCAAGCATCAGATGTCGCATCAACCTCTTCTCCAAGGCCCATGCCTTAATGGTCTATACCCAATCTCTGCCAGATCTTCAATTCGGGCTTCTCCACCAACAACCTTCCTCACTGCCTCTGCTACTTCAAGTCATTGGTACAAATGTTTGGGGCACCCAAATTCAGCCACTAATTTTGTTATTGCAAAATCTTTTCCTAGTCTATGTATCTCTTCCTCTTCTTCTATATGTACTTCATGTGTTGTAGCTAAAAAATCATAAATTACCCTTTAATGAATCTACTAGTTTCTCTACTACTCCTCTTGACCTTATTCATTGGGGTCCTTCCTCCGTTGTATCTACAAATGGTTTTCGTTTTTATTTAGTTCTAGTTGTTGATTGTTCTCATTATAGTTGGATAGACCCTATGAAATATAAATCATATACTATACCAAATTTCATTCATTTTAAATCATTCATTGGAAAACACTTTCATAAAAATATTCAAACTCTATGTACTCATGGAGGTGGTGAGTTCCTCAACCAAAACCTTCAAAATTTTCTAGCTCAATGGCATTCATCACCAATATACATGTCCTCACACTCCTCAACAAAACGGTGTCGTTGAATGCAAACATCATCATCTTGTTGAAACAGTCCGCACTCCCCTATGTGAATCCAAATTATCCTATAACTTCTGGGTTGATGCTCTCTTCACGGCCGTATATCTCATGAATCTACTACCATCCCCAAATACATTCTACATATCCCCTTTTCAACTCCTCCGCAATAAACCTCCAAATTATTCTCATCTTTGTGTATTCGGCTGTCGTTGTTATCCCTGGCTTAACTCATATACCACACATAAGCTTGCACCCCGTTCAACCCCATGTATTTTTCTTAGCTATGCTTCAAATAAAAAAGGTTACAAATGCTATAATCCCAACATGGGTCGCATCATTGTATCCAAACATGTTCTATTTGATGAATCCATCATACCTATGATTATTCCATCTCATCCCTCTTCTTCCACAGAAAACCATCCATTTCCTTTCCCTCCCTACATTCTTCCCTTCAATGCACCTCTTCTTCCACTGCTACAGCTCCTGCAAATAATCCACCATCTCCCTCCTCACCACATATATATATACTCTACAATCGCTACCTCATCTTCAACCACCTCCTATATTTCTCCCACTTCTCCTCTACCCACAGCTCCACATCAAATTCACCACCCAATGATCACCCGTCTCCACACAGGTTCACTTAAACCTCGCCAAATTCTTGATCTCAGCCATACCATTCAAACCATCCCTACAAATTACACTTCAACAATTAAATTTCCTGAATGGCGTCAAGCTCTTTCTGCAAAATTCAATGCTCTGCAGGCTCAAGTTACATGGACACTTGTTCCTCAGCCACACCACAATGTTATTGGATGAAAATAGATATTTAAAATAAAAAACACTGACAGTTCCATCTCTCGATATAAGGCATGTCTTGTTGCTTTAGGATTCAAACAGGAGTATGATCTTAATTATCATGAAATATTTAACTCGGTAGCTAAATCTCCAACTATTTGCCTCTTTATGACAATTTCTCTTCAATTTCAATGGAAAATCATACAAATTTATATAGCAAATGTGTTTCTTCATTGCTATTTAGAGGAAATAGATTATATGATTCAACCCCCAAGGTTTCCAAGATCCTTAATATCCTAATCATGTATGTCTCCTAAAAAAGCTCTCCAAGGCCTTAAACAAGCCTCACATCAATAATTTGTCTCTCCTCCTACCTTACTCTTCAAAGGTTTCATCTCTAGCTCAGTTGATTCCTCTCTAATGATCATCAACAACAACAATATTCGTGTCTACTTCTTAATATATGTTGATGATATCTTTGTCACCGGTAAAGATCAATCTTTTATTACCAATGTTTTCCACAAACTCTAGCTGCATTTTAATAAGCGCAATTTAGGGAAACTATCTCAGTTCCATGTCCTTGATGTCATCACAACAAACACCTCTTATCATCTCTTTTAACATACACTATTTTGACAATTGGTCGACTCTCTTCAATATCTTACCTCTAACCGCCCTGACATTGTGTTTTTCGTAAACAAAATTTGTCAAAACATGCATAATGCATTGGAGTGTCATTTTCAGTTTACTTAAACGCATACTTCCATACTTAAAAGGCACCTCCTCTCATGGGTTGCTTCTCCAACAAGGGGATCTTCAACTCCAAGACATTTCAGATTCGGATTAGGACCGAAGAAACCAATGATTGCAAGTCCGGTGCTTGTTTTTGTGATTTTATAGGTCCAAATCTCATCACTTACTAAGAAAAACAAACTACTGCAACTTGTTCTTCTACAGATGCTGAATACCGATCACTTGTTGCCACCACTACTGAAATCATTTGGCTATGTTGTCTTTGCCAAGACTTCTCCCTAAAATTGGACAACATTTCTGCTCTATCTATTGCAAGCAATCCTATTTTCATGCAAGGACAAAATATATTGAGATAAATCATCATTTCATCCGTGAAGCCATTAACTCTCAGCTCATTACAGATAATCACATCTCCTCAACATATAAGATAGCAGATATCTTCACTAAGGCCCTACCTAATTCCACATTCAACGCTCTCCGACACAAGTTGACGATCTGCACTTCCCCTCAATCCTGAGGGCGGTAACAAAAGCTGCACAGCAAAAATTGGAAAATCCGATTCTCCACTATCCTCCGCTCCAGTTCTACATCTGCTGCCACCTTTGCCTGCAACACTACAGGGTCACATGTATAGCTGTACCGTGATTTAATCTCCACCTCTACTTTTCAACCACCTCAATGGCATTTATGCTATTTTCCATTTCCTCTTCAGTTAGTATATATGATCTACTGTGCTCTGTAATTACCTATGACTGATGCAAATGTATTGAATACAAGAGCTTCCTCTTCTCTAGCCATTTCTCTGCTACATATACTGTGTATTGTCTTAGCTACTCTCTACAAGTCTCTACAGGTATTTCATCAATGTCAACCGTTAAAGTGAGACATATAAGGTCATGTATGACTTGTGAATTGGATGGGTCAAAGTGGAATGATATGGGCTTACCGAACTGATAAGATAAAGATATTATAAGCCTAAAAATTTCTTAGAAAGGAAAAAAAGTGGTGCACTTCATCTTAAAAAAATGCTTATTAATGACACAAAACAAAAGGTGATGCAGGACTACATGCATAATTCGGAAACTTGCACAAAATATTTTAAAATCAATTTCAGATTTCGTTATTAGTGATTAAAACATCAAAGTAAAACTAATAAACGGTCACTTCCGTTTAAGCCAAATTACACAAGATGCTAAACGGAATCAAAACACGTAGGAAAATTAAAGCAATGCATGCGGGATAGTTTCTAACATAACCCTCGTTTAACAACGAGATCCAAAAGCAAAGAAGTAACAATTCCTACGAATACTAGTGGATGGCGATAAGTAGACACAATCTCTTGCTTTGAACAACTTCTCTCAAAGAAATTAGAATTTGAAAGTAAATGAGTCAAGGAAGAAAATTACCTTCTCGAAGAAGCGTCGAAATTCACCACGTACCTTCCACTAGTTACTCCTTCCACGACAATTATGGGAGGACGGAATTTCTAGAGATCCGTCCATGATTTGAATCATGCCGACGAAAGAAATTTGAAAAGATCCACGCCACCTTGGCCGTTGGATGTGAGGAAGGGATCAAACTCCGGATCGGTCAAGCATCAATCATGTAAAGAGAAAACAAACTAGAGAGGGAGTGGAAGGGAGGTGGCGGTGGGGAGAAGGAGGAAGTTAGGTTGAGAAGAGAACTAGGTAGGGTGGAGGAAAAAGTGTTGTATTCTTCATGCCAAAATTAATCTCAGATTTTTAAGTAGAAGTGGAGGGAAAAATCTGAGATTTGAATTTCAAAAGACAAGTAATTAGGAGCAATAATGTAGCATTAAGGAGGTGGGGACCATGGGGGAGGCCGGCGCATGGTGAGAGGGGAGGGGAGTGGGTTATGTGGAGAAAATTACAACTCTTTCCAAATTGATCCCTTTAATTTAGGAGAAGAAAAATTCCACCTAAATCAAATTTGCCTCAAAAGTACAAGATGAAGGCTATAAATAGCCTAATACAAAGACATAAAATAAAAGACTAAAATACCCTCGAGGGGCTACAAGACTCAATCCCTCAAGCAAGGGTAAAAAGGGAAAAAATGCAGAAATAAAATACATCAAAATAAAATGACCAAACTAAAATCAAAAATACATCGGGCAGATTGTGGTCGTAGATCTACGACCACGTCGATGGTAGACTTTCCAACTGATGTCCCCATCAAAAGGAGAATTGTTTAATTTGCTTTATACTGTGTAGACCTCTTAAACTAATTAAAAAGATCAAATAAGATAAATCTGCAAACCACATTCATTAGAATCATCTTGACTAGAACAAATACTCAGCTCTTTGATCAGAATACAATTAAGTATAGCGACTATAAGCATTTCAAATATATATTTCCCACTAGAAAATAACCTGATAAAAGGCAAATTATATGAACAAATAAAATCACTCGGGACATTTTCTTCAGCTGCAAATTCATTGTTTTAATACAACTATAACAAGCTCACCTCATGGGAGTCAATAGTTGATCATCAAATTCATCCACTTTGTGTTGCTATTGCCATATCTTCCATTGTTGTCTGCAATATAATTTCAGTTGGCTTTGGGCATCCCCTTAACCATTCATGGCCGAGTTGTGCTCTTTCATTATCTCCAAACCCAAAAACCAGACCCTTATTTGTTACTGCAACGGTGTGATACAGTCCTGTGCTGATTTGGGAGACATAATGAGACCGTAGATTATCAAGGATTCGAGGCTGCAAAACTTTGTCTGAACATCCACGGTCAGAGAAGCCCAAACTACCAAAGCCCATCCATCCAAAGGCAAAAACAGAGCCTTCATCTGTTACAACGAAAGTCTTTCTCTTTCTCGCGCAAACCTGTGATTAAAGCCAATAAATGATGAACTTATCAAAATGCGTGCAAGTTCATGACTGCAGGATAAACTAATTTGTTTCATACCAATATTTTTTTTTTCTTTTTTTTGTTCTAATGATGTGCAGAGCCAAATTGAGAAAAAAAAATTTCCTTTCAAATGAAATTATAAAAGATCCACTTAAAGTTAAGGAGGAAGTTCAAGTACTTATGTTCATTTTTTCATGTTACAAGACATGTTCCGCAATCTTATGGAAATGTAAAAGAACCTCCATAATTTACTTCGAATTCTACACTCCAATATGCAATTTTTACTCGGTTATGTAAATAACTTAATAAGGTAAAATCTAATGAAGAAATGTACAGAAATTTTATGGAAAAAAAGTTGGCTGCCTTCAATATGGATTACTGGAGAATGAGCATTATTAACTTAGAAAAATAAACTAAAACTATATTGCTGAAAAAGTTCTTCATAACCAAGATAATTCAAACACATCATGCACTACTCACGTATATCATGCCATTACTGACTCATAAAAATGTGCAGCAAGTGCTGGACTATAAAAGAAGGTTCCATATGCCCCCAAAGTCTCTAAGAATGCAGAAATGACACGTGCCACAAACCTGGACAGCAAGGTGGCCTTTTAGGCTGTTCAATAATTCTGGACTAGTTTTGTCATTCTCATCTCCATGTCCTAGAGCTCCACAATATCCTCTACCCCAAGTATAAACCTGCAAAGGCAGCAATTTTTAGCATATTAATCCGGATGTACCTAAAAAGGGAGATTTACATACATACCACCTAATATTATTCTATTTACATATTTAACACCTAAAATTTTAATATTACATACATACCACCCATAGTTCATATCAAATAGGAGTAGTATAAATGAAATATATGAGTGGTAGGAAAGAAATATAAGTGGTATATTTGATATTAAAATAATCTAGGGTGGTATGCATGTAATATTAAAATTTTGGGTGTTAGATATGTAAATAGGATGTTATAAAGTGGTATGTATGTAATTTTCCAATAAAAAAATGCATAACGGTATACAACAATCTCATGTCGGGAACAAATCTTACATATCCATTGGAATCTAGTGCCACCGCATGTTCATCCCCAGCCGATACACGGACAACATGAATATTTTTCCTGTTAAATGATTTAATAGCTTTAGGAAGAAGCTCATCATGTTGATCACCATGGCCGAGGCAGAAATTGGAGCATGAACCAAAAGAATAAACAGTTCCATCATTAGTTAAGGCAAAGCTGTAACTTGCACCAGCAGCAACCTGAACAACATGGCCAACACCCTCAAGTGATTCAACTTTTGTAGGAGTGGGACGGTCAAGATTGTCTCCATGGCCAAGCTGTCCATGGGTGTTACTTCCACAAGTGAATACATCGCCTTCCTTCGTAAGAATTACAGTAAAATTAAGACCAGTGGCAACCTATGAAGAACATAATATAAAAAAAATTAAGCGTTGGATGCGATTCATAGAAAGACTAATAAGATTGCAATGAATAAATATACATCATATGCCATATGTTATCAATAATTGATGTCCTGAATTAATATGCAAATCCTATAGAGCTACAAAAATCAGGATGAAACTAAATAGAACTATAAACGCAAGGAAGTTTTGCCACAGTCCTCTGGGGAACTAGAGGGTATTGGTGATACTAAGCACAATTCCATATTCAACAAAAATCTTTTGATCTTTAGCTTCACAGGAACCAAGCTTGCGAGCATCATTATGTTTGAAGCCAAGTTCGTAGAGAAGCACAAGAGCATATACCTATCTTATTATATCAAGGTTCCAATGGAGAATAAATATGTTCATATCCACAAAAATAACAAGAATAATATGAAGTAAAACATAACATTTTTATATTCAATGGGAAACAATCTTAAGGTTTTCTCAAATTAGATAAATAAGTTAGAATAATTTAGTAAAAGGTATAATATGTTTCCAAATGTTGGATTTGTTAAAAACAAATCAGGGAGATTTGTTAAAAAAATTTGGCAAATTGCTGCTTATCAATAAAAATCTACAAAATGAAGAACAAGCTCATTAAAAAAAATTACAAATCATGATTTATAGAGATCAAACGCAAGATCAAATTAAAAACATTACACAAATGACCAACACGTTCAATTTGAAGTAATCGAAAGCAAGTTCTATGAATCCCGTATCAATAAAAAATAAAAATAAATAAATAAATAAATAATCCCCTTTCATTGTTGACAATTATCATGCCTTGTTGCACCAATCAGGTGAGCTACTTTTCTATGTCATTTGTTGTTGGTTGGCTATACTTGTCATGAAAGTCATCCAAAATATCTTCCTAAAAGATATTAGCAGTTGGGCGATCTTGAAAGCTAATGTAATCTGGCATTCCACCAATGATAGGTGCATTTAATCATTACATGGGCCACCAATGATGTCTTCCCCTTTGGCGAACAATCAACATCAACATCAAGCCTTTGTCCCATGATAGGAAATACTTGAGTTCACAAGTAACCCTAAGGTAATACTTGAGTTCGCAAGCAAACCTAGTCGAAATTAGCCCAAAACCAGAGAGAAAACTGCTGTCCCAGCAGAAAAACAGCAACCTTGCAGCAGGTATTGCACCCAAACAGTGGAAAATAGGGAAAGAAAACAAAGTTTTCACTAGAAAGAAAACAAAGTTTTCTCTTTTAATGGCCAACATTCGGCACCATAAAGCATTGCAGGTCTCACCACCATCTTATAGAACTTTCCCTAAAGTTTGAGGG